TGATCCCTACAGATTTAGGAGAAAGAAAGAAAAGAAAAGAAAAGAAAGCATGACTCTAAGTCTACACATATTACTGTTTCTTCAAAGGTAATGGACAGGTACTTTTCCATAGCAATAACATGTTCCATGAACCCAAGAACTTTAGTTGTTTGGCCCACTGCTAGTGACAGATTCTGTTTATTGTTGTCTGATACAATAATTACAGCTTTCCTTAAAATGGAAAAGTATATAAAATAATAAATACAGAATTAGGTACAGAGCAAAATATTTACTTAGAATGAGAAAATAAATCATTAAATAAATCATAAGTCATAAAAAATCATAAATACCAAGTTACAATTTATTTTAAGGTTGATAAAAACCATGTTACAAAGTCTAGCAACATAGCATGTTGTTCATTTTTTTTTTTTTTTTTTTTTTTTTTTTTTGTAAATGATGACTCACACCTCTGCAGTACCTTTCTCCTACTTTCTTATGGGCATGCCTTTTAATCATTTCTTCATGTGACAATGATTTTATAATATTTTCTAGAGGGAGAATCGAAAGCAAATTCAGTCTTTCTTCTACGTGATAGATGATCTCTATTTTGAGGACAGTTTTGTGTGCTGTTTTGTCAGGGTCCAGGAGACTTCAATAGGACAAGATATGTCAAATAAGCTGAGATAAGGTTTAATATAGTGGCACTCATACCTTGTAGATGGTACAATGTAAGTTCAAGGATTCTGAAATTCTGTATCTCATAATTCTCAACAAAGGAGAAATGAAAATGTGTGGTACATTTATTGTCTCTTATGCTGTGTTATGGATTCTTAATAATAGAGACTTTTGTTTCAGGGTTTTCCATAGACTGGTATCTGACTGTGAACATTGAAATGTCATTTCTCCTCCATGTCCCACATACTTTTGGGGTCAGGATCACATCTATTTTTGATATAATTTCTGTCCTCTCACTCAAGTTGATCACTTGATTTAATTTTGCTTTCCTCTCCTACTTCTCAAAGCATGTTACATTGTCCCTTGTTAACTCAGACCTAAGAATTTAATGGAATTTTAAATACATAGATGTAATTTCTGCTTAAGGCTGAAGTCTTGGCATATTCATGTCATGATGCCAGTATAGCCAACCTAGTAGGCACTGAGGATCTCTCAACAGGCAACTTCTACATCAGAACAGTCAGCAAAAAAGTGAACACATCAATAACTATGAATCACCTAAATATATCCCACTGAAACCAAAATTAATGTATCCTAAATTTATCTCTCTCTTAGCCAGATCCAAACAAAATCTATGATTACTCTAATGATGTCATGATGCCAGGATAGTCAACCTAGTAGGCACTGAGGATCTCTCAGTAGGCAATTTCTACACCAGAACAGTTAGAAAAAAGTACACACATCAGTAACTATGACTCACCTAAATATATCCCACTGAAGCCAAAATTAATGTATCCTAAATTTCTGTCTCCCTTAGCCAGATCCAAACAAAATCTATGATTACTCTACCACCATCTGATGAAAAAGAAAGAGTAACAGGCAGTTGATGGGGTGGGGGTAGGGAGACAGCTATCCTATGTAATTGTAGTTAAAATGTGTAAAAATATACAAAAATGTGTGTCTGTGTGAAGATATTGCTAGTAACCCTCCCTCATTTCCTGCCCTATTCCCAGTGTCTTGCCCTTTACCTGAGCTAGGCACTTAATAAATCTACATTTAAGGACTAAATAAATTATTGATGAAATAAAGATATACTCATGTAAGGTTTTTGTTGCACTCAAAAATGGCTAGTGCCTACAGAAAATACTGTTCAGAAGGTTTTTAAAAACTAGTATTCAATTTATGAAGATTATAAATATAAAAGTAAAACTAGCTCTTTCTTAACCTTTCAGTGTAGCTCCCAAATTTGTTATTCTATTTATAAATTCAGCAGATTTTAACAATCACTTTCAAGGAAACTTTGACAGTATTTGGTTCCTTTTATAAGCTTACACAGCAATAACATTTTTAACATTTTAAATAAATTTAACGTATTTGCTGTGTTTAATGATTTAAAAAGCCCAGTTTAATAAAAACAGCCTTCTGAATATTTACCAAGTCTTTTTCATTGACTAATGTTTAAAGTTATAAAAATATAATATTATATATACATATATTTATATGTTTTTAAAGAACTTGGAGATGTTTTTAAAACTGTGTATACCTTTGTTACATAGGTATACACGTGCTACGATGATTTGCTGCACTCATCCATCCATCATCTTTATTAGGTGTTTATCCTATTGCTATCTCTCTCCTAGACCCCCACCCCCTGACAGGCTCTGGATTGTGATGTTCCCCTCCCTGTGTCCATGTGTTCTCATGTTCAGCTCCCACTTATGAGTGAGAATGTGCAGTGTTTGGTTTTCTGTTCCTGTGTTAGTTTGCTGAGTATAATGGTTTCGAGCTTCATCCACGTCCCTGCAAAGGACATGAATTCATCCTTTTTTATGGTTGCATAGTATTACATGGTGTATATGTGCCACATTTTCTTTATCCAGCCTATCATTGATGGGCATTTGAGTTGATTCCAAGTTTTTGCTATTGTTAACAGTGTTGTAATAAACATACATGTGTATGCATCTTTATAGTAGAATGATTTCTAATCCTTTGGGTATATACCCAGTAATGAGATTGCAGGGTCAAATGGTATTTCTGGTTCTAGATACTTGAGGAATTGCCACACTGTCTTCCACAATAGTTGAACTAATTTATGTTCCCACCAACGGTGTAAAAGCATTCCTATTTCTCCACATCCTCTCCAGCTTCTATTGTTTCCTAAAGCAATGGCAACAAAAGCCAAAATTAATAAATGAGTTCTACTTAAACCAAAGAATTTCTGCACAGCAAAAGCAACTATCATCAGAATGAACAGGCAACCTACAGAATGGAAGCAATGTTTTGCAATCTATCCATCTGACAAAAGACTAATATCCAGAATCTACAAAGAACTTAAACAAATTTACAAGAAAAAAACAAACAGCCCCATCAAAAAGTTGGTGCAGGATATGAACAGACACTTCTCAAAAGAAGACATTTATGTGACCAATAAACATATGAAGAAAAGCTCATCATCACTGGTCATTAGAGAATTGCAAATCAAAAACAATGAGATGCCATCTCATGCCAGTTAGAATGGAGATCATTGAAAATATAAGAATTTTTAAATTTCTTGAAATATTTCAAACATGCCAGTTAGAATGGAGATCATTGAAAATACAAGAATTTTTGAATTTCTTGAAATATTTCAAATGTATACAGTTATGTCCACATTTACTATTTACAGAAAAATATTATGGTTTTGTTAGTCATAATTTTTATGCTTAATTTTAAAATGCAAGAGATGTGTTACCACTTAAGGGAAATAGTTACCATTCCAATGAACTGAATTTATTTATGATCAGAGATTTCATCCAGAACAGTTAGCAAAAGATTTCCTGGATTTTTGCTGGCTACCCTGCTGAGACTCACTGAGCACTGTTTTATAGTTTTCTTGTCCCATTTCCATAACTTCAGAATGTCGCCAATTGGTCTATTTTCTCAAATTCAAGTTATACATGTTCACTAATTCATAAGTCTATTCACTAGGTTCTGTAACTTTTCTAGTTTTTCAAGAAAGTTGGTCACTTTATTTGATTTTGCTTCCCCACCCCCGCCACCTCTTGAAGCATATTCCATTGCCCTTTGCCAACTCAGACTTGAGAATTTGATGGAATTTTGAAGACATAAATATAATTTTTGCCCAAGGATAAAGACTTGTCAGTTTTATGATATTACTTTTTCACATAATATTATTAAATCTATACAACTGATGTTTAATAATGATATTCAGTTGAATTTTGTTTACCTCACATGGCCTTTATCCGATTTGCATTTAACTCATGAGGTTATTCTCCTGTCAAAAAAATAAAGGTATGTTTCCTGAAGAAAAATTAGACATCCTCCTGTTATTGATAAGAAGGCATCAAAGTAAATAATTGCAAGGCCAGGTATGGTGGCTCATACCTATAATCAATCCCAGCACTTTGGGAGACCAAGGTGAGCAGATCGCTGGAGCCCAGGAGCTCGAGACCAGCCTGGCCAACGTGGTGAAACCCCATCTCTACTACAAACAAAAATTAGCAGGGCACGGTGGTGTGAGCCTGTGGTCCCAGCCACTCAGTAGGCTGAGGCTAGACATAAGAATCGCTTGAAACCAGGAAGTGGAGGTTATAGTTCAGCCTGGTCAACAGAGCAAGACTCTGTCTGAAAAAAGAAAAAAAGAAGAATTTCAGAGAAGGAGTATGGCAGTATTGAAAAACCAGAAGTGTTCACTCACGAGAGATAGGAGATGTAATTTATAGTAGGATTTAATTAAATGTCATAATAGTGAACAAAATGTATTTTGAGTGAGAAAATACAGGAAAAAATGAACAATAGATCAATGGCGTGAAAATCTCACACTGAACCTGGCACAGTGTCTCCCACCTGTAATCCCAGCCCTTTGGGAGGCCAGGCTTCAGTGAGCTGTGATTACATCACTGCACTCCAGCCTGGGTAATAGAACAAGACCCTGTCTCAAAAAAAAAAAAAAAAAAAGTATGTGGTTTGGGTCTAAAGCACTAAGAGATGTTAATTATTGAGTGAATGACTTAAGAAGTGGGTGGAGAATAGCTGAGTAAATTTGGAGAGAAAAGGAAAAGGTAAGTTTGGAGGAGGATTAGAAGATACCAGAAGATGGCCTCCCAAATCGAATGTGAGGAAGCCAAGTTAAAAAGGATGCCATTCTGAACATCAGTGAGAATTGTATGGTTCAAGGGGAGAAAGCATGTGCAAGAATTCAGGGTTCATGACAAATACACTGGTGTTTAGACCCAGATAGCAAACAGTTACAGATCGCCAGCACAGGGGCAGAAATGCATTATCGTTCCTCATCTACTGTGAGGTTCATGGCCGACCCTCCTGTAGCCAAAGACAGACAAACAAGAGACAAGCATAACAAATTACTTTAATAGAAGTTTACATGATACAAGAGACTTCAGAAAGGAAGATCCAGAGAAACAAAGGAAACTGTACTTGGAGGAAAAGTGGCAGTTTTGGAGACGTGTGTTTGGACCAAAGCGGGTGGAATCTAATGGAAATAAACTCGGGGAATTTAGCAAGCCCCGATGGTTGGGATTCCTCTTGGCCTCTCTCTGTGCCACTCCTTCTTTCCTGGTATAGGGCAGGACCTCTCTGGAGTGAGGATCTTCTGTTCTACTTTCAGAAGAAGTAGGTCAGAGGATTCTTTTTAGGACCTTGGGGGAGAAAAGTGGGAGAAAGTCAGAGAGTGACCTTCCTGCTTCTGTGGCGTTCTCAATTTCCTTCAGCTTAAAATACACAGAATGCCAAGGTGCCGTATTTTGGGATATCCTGTTCTGAGCCCCAACACAAGGATCAGAGAAATGCAAATTCCAATCAGACTGCAAGCTGAGTGGGAGGTGCAGACTTCTGAAATGCAACAGAAGGATGAGGACATTAAATGTAAATCGAATCTGAGCAACCTGGAAGAGCATCCCTTTGGCTCCTCTGTGGGGTCCGTGACATGGAAACTCCAAAATGGGGCCCAGTGACACCAGGAAAGTTGCTGATAAGAATCAGCCAGCACCCTGGGCCTTAGGAACCTCTAGCCTGAGAAGCAGACCACCTGTCAAGCTAATGGGAATAATAGTAATCATTGTTTTGTTTCAGTAATTGGTGATGGCAGGAACTTCTGAAGCAGGAGGCCTCATGCCTTGTGTGAACTCGGCTGGTACTTACAGGGTATGCTTTGTGGAATCCAGGAAGATTTAGAATTATAGATTTAGGGTATAGATAGGCATAGTAGAATCAAAATTACAGAATTATCATTTTGTTACCCATTTAGGCTTTTAAAATCTACTTGTAACATTTAAAGAATTTAGTCAATTTGAGTGAAGGATTTTTTAACTCCACACACATACACAAAAAGGTATGTGAATAATTGATTTAGGCTTCTGACTAAATTGGAATGGTACTAAGCATTGAGCTATTTAAGAAATATTTAGGCTTACATATTTACCCATTTTAAATAGATATAAATTATTTGTATTAGGGAAGATGTTATATGCTAAGGTAGACAGTTGTACTTAAGAAGGAAACTGAATAGATTCCATTTATAAATACAGTTTAAAATCTTTTAAGGTATTGAATTAAGTTTGGAAATGAAAGCAATCATCCTTCCAAGACTCCCTAGAAGTGATAGGCAGGTTTGGAAGAACCAATAAATGCAATACTATTGTTTTTTAGAAGTTGAAGTTAAAAGGAACAACCAATTAAAACAAAAAACTTTATTTGGAAATTCAGATTTGCAGAAAGTTGCAAAGATAGTACAGAAAGTTTCCCTCTATCTTTCACTCGAGTTGCTCTTATTTTTTTCTTTCGTCACAAGGTTTTTAAATTTGTAAATTCCCTAAGTTGAATATTACCAAAAATAAATGAAAGGAAGCAGACTTCTGGATATTATTTTAAACACGCAAACACATATGTGGATATATACGTGAGAATGCACACTCAATCCCTCTCAGGACACTGAAAACCCTCATTAACAGTCATTTATATTGGAATATCTGAGTGGAGTTTGAGAGGGCAAAGGGGCATGGAGACAGAGCTGTGGATATCGGCAGAGCTTTCTGGTCCGGGGTGTACACTCCACAAGGTTCCATGTCGTGACCTGCCTTCTTTCTCCACGCAAGGGCTGTGAGACGTTAACCTGTCTGTGCCACGACATTCTCCTTGGCGACCACAAACGATAATGGTGGTGCCTGCCTGCCACCTGGACTACTGGAAGGATTTGGTGAGTAAGTGCATGGCAGACTTCTGGGTCATGCTCAGCACACAGTATGTACTCACCATGCGTGGGCTGCTATTACCATAAATATGGTTGTGGAACCCGAGACAGAGGTGGCAAAGATTGACTCTTTGACCGAACTCTAGCCAGGATCCTCTTGTTACAGTAAATAGTTAGGCAGACATGAGCAGGGCAGCAGAGGCCCCCTCCATGCTAACCAGGTATGGCAGGTGACCATCAGGTGATGGTCAGGCAGTTAGTTGTTAAGCTGTCTCTCCGAAATAATAATTGCTTAAAGCCAGAGCCAGGGAAAGACAGTCTCCCAGTGGATAGAAAAACCTGAAACTGGTGATTAGTCTCCTGATAAGATCTCAGGAGTTGGGCAAATAGGCTCAACCACGCACACTAAGTGGCAGAATTGGTGAGTCTGAGTGGTCTATAACCACATGGGAATGCTCAACTGGTAAGGGACAAATGCCTCAAGTGCGCACGTGCAGTTTCAGTAAACACACTGTGTATGGGGCCCCTCCCAGGTGCTGGCAGGCCCCCGCGCATGCGGACAGCCTACCCCAAGGGGAGAAGTAACTCAAGACCCCAGAAGGGTGCCAATACAGTATATAAAACCCCACGTTAAAGGTCAAACAGTACACTTGACTCTCTCAAGTCACCTGCTTGGGCCTCTTCCAAGTATACTTTACTTCCTTTCATTCCTGCCCTGAAAATTTTAATACACTTTCACTCCTGCTCTAAAACTTGCTTCAGTCTCTCACTCTGCCTATGCCCCTTGGTCGAATTCCTTCTTCTGAGGAAGCAAGAAGTGAGGTTGCTGCAGACGTGCAGGATTTGCCACCACTGACGCTCTGAGCCCTCTTCTCTACCAGGCCTCAAACTTGGCCTATAAAAACAGCACAAACCCTCTCATCCACCCTTCCGCCCCCCTTAAGAGACCTAAACCACTTGTAATCTGAGCACTTTGGAGGCCAAGGCAGGTGGATCACGAGGTCAAGAGATCGAGACCATCCTGGTCAACATGGTGAAATCCCTTCTCTACTAAAAATACAAAAAATTAGCTGGACGTGGTGGCGCACGCCTGTAGTCCCAGCTACTCAGGAGGCTGAGGCAGGAGAATTGCTTGAACCCAGGAGCTGGAGGTTACGGTGAGCAGAGATCGTGCCACTGCATTCCAGCCTGGGTAACAAGAGCGAAACTCCGTCTCAAAAAAAAAAAAGACCTAAACCAACACTAGCATCCTTCCTAACAGCTCAAGGTGGTACTCCAACCATGACCTGACACCTTCTTAAAGTGCCTGCCTAGGAAACCTCCAAGCCACCAGAAACGTTTACCATCTGTCCTACCCAACACCTGACATAGGCACCTGACTTTCTTACTTAGAGCAGTTACTTCAAAGACTTACAACTGTGAATCCGTTCTCCATCCCTTTGACATGTATGTGTATCTCTTCAGTTTAGGGGTGTCTTTTTCAAAGACCTGAAAGCCATTCCTTTGAAAATGTAATCATCAGGATGGATGGGACCTCTGCCTCCCAAGCTTTGTGGGAGGACAGAATCTTAACTTCCTCAATGGGCAGCTAACAGACTCAGCTGGCCAAATTGCATTTACACTCAACTCGCTGTCATTTTCACTTCCCTTACCCTGCCGTAGCCGCCCCCACCTGCCCTCTCTACTCTCCATTCTGCCTTTAAAATGTCTAGTCAGCTCCACACAAATCAAAGTTGAGTTCAGTCCACACTGGACCCTCTTTCTGATTGCAGTCATCTATTATTTATTAAAATGTGTCCTTATTGCTTTAGTCTTCAGCTTTGTTTATCTTTGGCATAAATCACAGTTCAGAAATGTATTTGGGAAGCCCATGCCTATATAAGGCAATGGAATCCTAGAGAATGTGTGTGGAATGAGAAAATTTAAGAGCACTTTCACCAAACCCCAAAGCACACCAGCATTTAAGGTATAGAAAAAGGAAGAGAGCCTACATACACAAGCAAACAGTGAGAAAGAAAAGACTAGAATGAAGGAGGAAAAACGATACTGAAGGAAATCAAAATACTTTACTTTAAAATGTATATCTTTTGAAATGGCTGTTCAGGGGGCCAGCACACAGAAGCAACCTGCAAAACTGTCTTCTGTCAGGGAGATTTGCATCGGTAGAGAATGTGCATTGAGGCAGCCAGCCCTTCCCTTGTGCTGATCTAGGGAAGATTAACTGAGAGTCTGACACCTTTAAAGAAGAAACAGTTACCCTGCTACATGTTTGGTTCCATTTATACAACTGAACAGCCTTTGCTAGCCACGACTCCTCTTCTTTGCCTCCCATGACCTGTCTTGCCACTCTAATCTGGTTTACCAGCTGATATGGTTTGGCTGTGTCCCTACACAAATCTCATCTTGAATTGTAGCTCCCATAGTTCCCACATGTTGGGGGAGAGACCTGGTGGGAGTTAATTTTATTGCAGGGGATGGTTTCCCCCATACTGTTCTTGTGGTAGTGAATAAGTCTCATGAGATCATGGTTTTAATAAAGGGAAATCCCTTCTGCTTGGTTCTCAGTCTCTCTTGTTTACCGCCATGTAGGACATGCCTTTCACCTTCTGCCATGATCATGAGGCCTCCCCAGCCACGTGAAACTGTGAGTCCACTAAACCTCTTCTCTTTTTTTTTAAATAAATTACCCAGTCTTGGGTATGTCTTTATCAGGAGTGTGAAAACAGACTAATAAACCAGCATAACCTGTTTTTGGCCATGCTCTGAGCCCTGATTCTTTCTGTAATCTCAAGATGGTTTATACATTGTACCCCATGCGAAAGTTGGGGTATTCACTCTGTGGTTCTCGCCTGTGTGCACATTAATACATATGTATACCTTTTCACTTATTAATCTGCCTTTAGTGAGTTGATTTTTCAACAGACTGTCAGAGGGTAAAGGGGAAGTTTTCTCTTAGCTCCTACCACAGTGTGAAAAGAAAAACTTCAACCGAATTAAATTTAAAGGAGTTTAATAGCACAATGAACAATTCACAAACTGGGTAGCCCCCAGAATCACAGCAGATTCAGAGAGACTCCAGGGTAGCCACATGGTGGAAGACAATTTACAGACAAAATTAAGAAAAAAAAAAAAAAAAAAAAAAAAAGGAAGTGGCATACAGAAATTAGAAGTGAGGTACTGAAACAACTGGATTGGTTACAGCTTGTTTATATATGTATTTCTTTCTTTATTTGCCTCATTTGAACACAGTTTGAATGCTCCGCAGTGTATGGTAGCTGAAGCATGGCTGCTGGCAATGGCCAGGCCTCAGCCATTATTACAGGCACCTACTCCTCAATCAGGTTTTCAGTCTTGTCTACCTATTAAGTTGGGCTGCAGTTCATCCACAAGGACTCACATATAGAAGTACAGAGTCCTTCTTAGGCCATATTTAGTTTTCTTTAACCATAG